GGAGGTCTAATGGTCTTGTGGTAGTGGCGTTGATTGAGTGGCAACGATATTGGTCGCGTGACTGTGGTCCGACAATAGATAGGCGATGGTAATACGATAATAGTTATGGAGGGCGACAATGATTTAATGACGATAATAGCGGTTTGACTATGATAATAAAAATCACTACATCGGTAGGGAAACAATGGTCCAGTAATAATGGTTGTGTCATTCAACATCTGCTGAGTGATGATGGTTTACAACAACAAAGACCGGGCGACGATGCTCTGGAGGAAACAATGGCTGAAAGATGATGATCTAGCAAACGTGGCAGTGACTGCAACAACATCAGTGTCCATGCTACTGTGTTGGGGGTTAGAGGCGTTTGTTGGGTGACAATGGTTCAAAGGCTGTGATGTATGACAAAGGAAACTAAGTTGGCCATATGATGGTGATTCAACGATGGTCAACCAATAAGGCAAGACAGTGGCAGTGGTCAAATGACGATAGAGGTGGTCTGAAGATGACAGTGGTGATCTAATGATGATGGCCATGCTGGCTGGGCGATATTGGTCGAACACCAATAGTGATCGGGCAACGATGATCAACCGAGGATGGTGAAGGTTGTGGCTTCAACTGGGCAACAATAATCTAGTGGTGGCAATAGTTCAGCATTGTTGGTCTAATGGTTGTGGTATACCACAAATACGACGGAAATTTAGTGATGGTGGCTCAACAACAACACCAATGGAGGTGAACACGATCGGGCGTAGTGTTCTGACAATTATGGTGGCGCCCCAGAGATGGTGGTTTGGCAACACAGTGGCTGGGCAATAATGATGATGGCGACCAAGTGATAGTGGTCTAGCAAAGGCGACGATGATGGTTGGGCCAGGGTAGTATGGCGACGATGGAGGCAGTGGCCAACTATAGTGCTCCTACAATAGTGATTGTGATTGTTGGATAATGCTAGTCCTGCGACGACGGTTTGACTGAGCTCTGGAATTTGGTGATGGTGGAGCTCATAAATCCTCAATAGCTTGGAACTCCCTTCAGTCTTCTCATCCAGGCCAACATGCCCTTTCATTGAGAGAGTTATTCTATGTAAAAACTACATGGATTCAAATAACTTTATCGAATGACCCCAAATGATACCTTTGCTCGAATGTAATTTTATGAGTATTTGAATACTTTAATGATGTTAGAATTAAGTAATCTTAAGCTCGTCAGAATCGTCTTATTGAGACACTTGATTTGATTATAAGTTTGTTAGATTTAGAGATTATTTATTCTCCCAAAGTATGTTATAAAGCTTCTCTTCATGCTTTAAGTGCATGGTTTAGGCTCACCTGGAATCAAGTTGAAATATTTTTCAGCCATTTGATTTGACTCAATTAGACACTTCATTATTTGATCATAAATTTTAATGCGGGTAATTTTTAATTTAATTTTCTAAGCTTTCAATCATTATATTTGTCAAGATTGGTGCACGATTAAGAGAAATTTTTAGCGACGTTTCAATATCTATATGCTATATAATTTTTTTAAAAAAAAAGTGGAGAGTGAAAGTGAACAAATGAATAATATTTGTCAAGATTGGTGCATGATTAAGAGAAGTTTTTAGCGACGTTTCAATATCTATATGCTATCTAATTTAAAAAAAAAAAAGTGGAGAGTGAAAGTGAACAAATGAATGAGCTTTGGAAAAATTATTTTGAAATGTTCTCTTTCATTAAAAACTAAATAAAGCTTTTCATGGTTTTCAAAACTAAGGAATAGAGGGAAGACATTTCTACAAAGAGATAGTACAATTTTAAAAAGAAGTCAACTATGATGATCCCTTAAAGGTGTAGTAGAATTAACAAGTCTTTTAAAAAATTTTGAAGAGTGAAATTGAAACTTAATATTTTGGTGGGGTGATGGGAGAATAAGGGTCTATGTGCCTTGTGCTTGTAATGCTTGGAATTCAGCTGAAATGGCTTTGCACCAATGTGGTTGTTTTGCAGTTGAGGTATAATAGGTTGGATCCTACTATATTTGATGAGTGAGATCAAAGGATCTGTCATGGTTTTACGTTAACAACTTTAAGGTTTGTTTGCATCAAATGACCAACAGGAGGTGGATGGCAGATAGGTGGGGTTGTAGAAGAGAATTGGTCTTGTTGGGATTGTATTGATAATGAGGAGTGTGAGGGATTGAAAAGAGGCAAGGAGGCTTTTGGTGCTTTTGGTTCGTGAAGGTAATGATGCATTAGTTTGGAGAGTGCAAATAGCTTCAAGGAGAAGACGATGATTTCATTCATTAGTTTCATTTTGTTCGGGAATGTGGGGACAAATGTGTTGATGAACAATGCCACATTGTTGTATTATAGTGCAACGAGTTTGATTCATGTATTCACCTCTTCCATCAATGTGCAATGTTATTTTGTTAAATGATTGAATTAATATTTAGCCATAGATTTAAATTCTATGAATTTTTTAGTGGTTTCAGATTTATTATGAAGTTAGTACTCATGAATAACATAACTAATTATCATTAAAAAAACATAATATTTGTAAGATTGTGGCAGGACCACATACTTCAATATGAATAATTTGTAAAGAAAATAATGCTGAAGAGATAGATATAGAAAATGGCAGCTTATGAATTTTGGCAAAACTACAAGAATTACAATGTAAACTCTTAAAAGATCAATGTAAAGATGAAATTCTTGAAGACATTATTGATTGAGTTTGGGTACACAGATGGCCTAGTCGGCGATGCCATAATTGATGATGAGGGAAGAGGCAATGTAACCTGCTATAGATTGGATGTGAGATGTTTGGTGGCTCTATTTCTAATTTTTTGTTGAAAGAGCTAGGGTTGCGGCGACTAGAGTTGATGGTGGTTGATAGAGTTTGTCATGTCTATAACAACACTTATGCAAAGTGTCCCATTTTGGTGAAAATTTGACATATGATTGAGAATTTGTTGGTTTGGTATGAGATGGAGCCGACTTAGTTTTATCTAGGCAAAGGATCTCCACTAGAATTGGAATGAAATGTATTGTTTATGTTTCTCTTTTTCTTCCACAGATAGTAATGAGTGTTGTGGGTTGAGATAATCATTTGGATGTTTCTTGTGCTAGATTGAAATCCTTGCTCCATAATAGCACATATTGATTACCAACGAAGATTGGTTGGAGATTTGTGCGAATTGTGGTTTGAAGGCAGAAAGGTAGGTGGAAAGCCATTAAGAGTATAAAAGATGATATCTTCGGGATCTAAAGGAGAATCAATGGCCGCAATAATATCCACCTTGGTCTTGTTATCTTAGAGTTATTGAGTCATGTTTTCCCCTTGCACATTAGGATTGTGTAGCTTGTTTATTAGTTGAATGATCCTCGGTCACTTTGAGGATTATAACTGGCGTTCCACAGTCGTCCAAATATCATGACAAGTTAGCGGTTGGACTTAGGAAAGAATAAGAGGCGAGACGACCGCGTATCGTGCGACTGCAAGATTTTGGTATATTAGTAGTTATTTTGTATAATTTGATTTGGGAATAAAATTTTTAGTGGAATCCGTGGTGTGCAGTGCTGGATAGTTATAGGATCCATCCAAAAATCCATCATAGCCATTCACGTGAAATAACTCGGTAGCCCGAGCTTTTGCAAGTTGGGCAATTATCTAGAGTAAGCCAAATAAATAGGATGCAATGAACATAGACCACGAGAAATTTGAGCTACAACGAGAGTGGGTTGTTGGCCGGAAAACTTTTCATCAATGTTCTGCTTGCAACACAAAAAAAAATGGAGTTCATGATGTTGATGAGAGAGAAAGCATTGGGTCATGGCTCTGATATCATGAAAGAATTTCATAAACTAATATTGTATACAAAATATATAGAATGACACGTCGATATAGTGCTATCCCATGTACATATAGAAGTAAAAACTATGTTTCATTCAAAGTAGTGGCTGGTTGAGGTCATTATACAATATATGGATGAAATGAAGTTGGTTATTATTCAATGATCCATATAATTCTTGGTACAAAGATTTAGTGGCAGCACATCTTTCAGTTATCAGCTAGCAATTTCTTCAGTTGGTCGTAACATGTTTCGTTTCAATTGTAACAATCCTTGCTCGGAGGCCATTCTAATATTCTCTGTATCGTTCCATTTATATCAGATGTCTCCGAAAAAAATTGTCATACTAAAAGGTTATATATGTAAATATGAAAGTTAAGAAGTTGCATATGTAAATACATAAAAACTGGAAGTCATTAAGACTCGGTTTAAAAGAAGAATCGAACTTAAAAGAGATTTCCAACAAAACAAACAAACAATATAAAAGTCATTTCAATGCAACACAATTCTGAAATCAAAATTTGAAAAGCTTTCAAATATTTTCTGTGATATAAAATTGACATTTGAAATGTTGGAAAATTTACATACACACCACCTAATTCCTATGTATTTACATATCGAACACCTAAAGTTTAGTATTTACATTTACACTGGTATCAGAAACGTTTGATGAAAGGATATATAGTTCACATTCAAAATGCAAGTGGTGTTTTTAATGTTATGTTAAAAATTTGAGTGCTATGCATAAAAATATGAAAACTTGAGGGTTAGATTTGTAAATACAAAAGGGTATGGAATGTATGTAAATGCCCTAAAATGTTTTTACAGATCTATACTTGAAGCTTTGCAGCACCGCAACAAAATGAGAGCAACATCAGATCAGGCCTCAACTGCAGTAATCATTTTACTGCATTTCTGATTCATTAGAGACAAATGCTAAAACTCCCAAAACTTTTAAAATTTGGATTCATTTGAATTGCTAAAAATAAAATATCACTGATTTGTTCGTTGATTCTGAATCTATAACCACTGATTTGAGTTTGTAAAACAACTTTACAATCCGTCAACACTAATTCTCAAAAATATATACTCAAAATTCTTAACCTAAATCACTAACAACCACTAATAGAAATAAATCACATAACTAAGAGAAAAATATTGATAATTCTATCTCCAAATAACAGCAGCCAGCAATATTTCTGATAAATTTCTCCAACTATATAAAGATAAGAACAGTAAGATACAGGCTACAGAGGGCCTATGTCATTGACACAACTATGGTTTAATTAATCAAGGGGCATTTGCATACTGGATGGTGGTGGAAGTATCATCGGCGATTGTCGGATCAGTCGGCGGCGGCAACTTCTTCTCGAGTGACTTAGGGATGTCAAGGTCATCCTGAGGGCACCGCTGTTGTGGGTGCGATAGAAGGATGCAAATTTGGCGGAGAAGGACTCGAGATAGGCCTTGTCCACTCTCGAATATGTATCCTTCATACTCGCATACATGATCGAGGGCGTCGACCAGCATATCGTAGACCTTCTGTGGGCAATTCTCGGGGCCTGGCTTGTCATGGAGGTATATGACATCCAAGGTGAAGAGCTTCTGGTTTAATGGCCATTGATGCTGAGGAGGAACTGATGATCTGCAGTAGATGAGTATCTGAAGCCAGTATGACCAAGTTGATGTTAAAGAGTGTTGTCTTTTTCAAAGAGTGATGAATAAAAATGTATGTTAGGGGTGTCAAATCTAGCTTGCGGGTCCGGTTCGGGTCTGACCCAAAATAGGCTTGACCTGAAACTGCTTAACCTGAACCCGACCACATGTTAGATGAGTTAAAAATTCCTACCCGAATGTTAGATGGGTTAAAAACTCCTACCCGAACCTAACTTGCCTGCAACCGCTAATTTGAACTCAATGCGAGTAACCCATTTAACATAAAGCTTAATAACTATTCAGGTCAAATTCAAGTCGACTTTAAGTCAATTTTGAGTCAATTTTTGTGGACATGTTAATTTTGAGTACAGTCTAGGTTTGCAAGTCAATTTTAGGTGGCAGGCAATCCAAACCCAACCAAAAAAATTAAATAGATTAGGAATTCTCTTATACGAATCTGACCAAAAAGTTACTAGGGTCAACCCAAGCCTAAACTTTTCGAGTCGAGTTTGCATGTCGGATCCATGCTTGACACCCCTAATGTATGTGGATGCTAGTCTTCCAATGGAAGAAATGTAGCAGAAGCAAAAAATGAAGCTATATGCATGTATATATACACACACCATAAGATAAAATTGTGTTTTTAGTTTGTCGAAAGAGTGATTTTCTTTTGAATTGGATTTGCCTTGAAAAAAAAAAAGGCATTTACATACATATCACATAATTCTTGTCAATTTATATATTTGATATCTAAACTTTACTTTTTACATTTATACCACCAAAATATCTCACATATCACATACAAAATACCACTATCTTAACTTCTCAGAAGTGAAACGCACCTTTTCATGCATGGGTTGGGTGGCATATATATAAAGATTGAAGTTTAGGCGTTAGAAACGTAAATACATAAGAATCGAGTGGTATGTTTGTAAATCTTAGCTTGGAGATGATATTTGGCATTAAGGCATTGTAAAACGTTAAAATTGTACTCCAAATTACAAGCGGTAGGGTGGATCAAGGAACTCTTTCAGTAGGGGCACTATAATAAAATCGAGTTTTATTATAACTTTTGTTGTAGCTCTAAAATTGAGATACTAAAGCCTTTTTTATTTCTCGCTCTACATTTTTGCTACTTGTCAAGGTTTTACTTTTTTCAAATACTTTGATCCTAATTAAAAATAAAAAGCAGAGGAGGTGCAGGCTAAATCACCCAATTGGCCAACAAAGTGAAGCGCCCTAAATTCAGCGGTCATATGCTCAATTACTATTTACATTCACACTGTTTTGGAACATATCACAACTAGAATGGGGAGCTATGGCTACTTCTAAAAGGACAAGCCTGATAATTTGGTTAGGAAGATTACATACATACCACAAAAGTCTTATGCATTTACATATCTGAGATCAAAACTTTAATTTTTACATATATGCCACATTACCTATGTATAAAAAGATATATTTCACATTTTAAGTTGGATGGCATAAATGTGGAAGGTAAAATTTGGGTGTTAGATATGTAAATACAAAAGAATTGGGTGGTATGTATGTAAATGCCCCATTTGGTTATAGTTAAACAATATACATGTCTCTAAGGCCCCTCTGCAAAAGAACGATAAAATGGAAACACACAAAGTGAATTGTAGAACTAGATTCATTTTTTTGGCGTGTTTAGCTCTGAATAAAGCATGGTAATATAGTTTAAATTTCCTATCGGCATGTGCATCAAATATATGATGAAAGCCGATGTCACATCTGCATTAGCAAGTAGTTCACATCTGGCAGAAATGTGATTTTTCGCAAGGCACTGAAACTCGATAACTAATAATCAGAAAGAACAAGATAGTTCTGTAAAAAGAATAAAACAAGCAAGCTCAATAATTACGTAAGTTAGAATAATTAATGCAATGCATAAAAGAGGGACATAAAATAAAAAGGACAAATGTATAGTGAAACTTATGAATTTTATTTTTAGAAAGAATCTCTTCAGTAATAGCTTTTACCATTAATAATTTCGTTTCCAAAGAAAATATTCACCATATAGCTAATTCCTTCATAATAGAATAATAAAATGAAACTTAAGGTCTAAAGGCCCAATGAGAGAACATAAATGATGCCAGCCAGCTTATAATACTAGTTTGGCTTGAGTTAGAATATTTCGAAAGGAAAAATAATATTTTTAGCTAAACTCGGCAGAGCTGACATCACAAAGTGCCATTGTTGAACTTCCTTTAGATACGCATATCAGGATGGGACGCGTTTCAAATGGGATGGCATTTTACATTAAAATCAGTATTTCATTTTATAAAAATGATAATAGTGCTATTGTTGGGATACATGCTTAGGACTGCTTATTGAGTCTAGGTTTAATTGAGTCAAGTTTGTTCCTTAATCTTAGGAGTTAGTTGCTATTTTTCTTGATTTTGTTTCTTGTTATTTTCTTGGCTGATTTTTAGGTCTTTTTCTTGGAAGTTTGTTATTAGCTCCAAGTTTAAATATTGTAAGACTATACAAAAGGTGTGTGGTTCTAATTTTCCCTTTAATCTACAACAATTCTCTTAAGTTTTTTCTTCTTTCTAATTTCAAGAAATCAACAATTTGGTATCAGAGATCTCTTCTTAAGGGACCTGTGTGCGAGTTTGAGCAGTTATGGAGATCGAAGCTAGTTTTTCCTTAGTTGCTCCACCAGTTTTTTGACGGAGACAACTACTGGATCTGGGCAATCCGCATGGAGACGTACCTGAAGCTTTGGATCTCTAGGAAGCAGTGGAATAAGACTATGACATTCCTCTTCTTCCTGAAAATCCCACCGTAGCACAAATAAAAGCACAAAAGGAGAAGAAGACAAAAAAGTCCAAGGCAGAAGCTTGTCTGTTTGCTGCAGTTTCCTCCACGATCTTCACTCGTATCATGTCGTTGAAAATGAAAAAAGGGGATTTGGGATTATCTCAAATCCGAGTATGAAGAAGATGAAAGAATTCGAGGAATGCAGGTGCTAAACTTGGTTCGTGATTTTGAATTGCAAAAGATAAATGAGCATAAACCATAAAGGAGCACTCTGACAGACTACTCAACATGGCAAATCATGTCAAATTATTGGGTTCTTCTCTAGAAGATTCAATGATTGTTTAGAAAATCCTTGTAACAGTGCCTGAAAGATTTGAGGCTACCATCACCACCTTAGAAAACACGAAGGATCTGTCAAAGATTGCTTTAATAGAACTTTTAAGTGCTTTACAGGCACAAAAGTAGAGGCGTGTAATGAGGGAAGAAGGAGCTTTACCAGTCAAGCATCAAGATGATGAAAAGAATAGGTGGCCCAAGAACAAGAAGTTACGAGCTACAAGTGGACAAAACTCTGCACCTGAGAACAGAAGCAAAATTGAAAATAAAAGATTAGGAGTAAAAAAAGATTACCCTCCATGTCAACATTGTGGCAAGAAATGTCATCCTCCTTTCAAATGCTGGAGAAGGTCAGATGCAAAGTGCGACAAGTGCAATCAAATGGGACATGAAGTTGTCATTTGCAAGAATAAAGATCAACAGCAATGAGATGAAGCACAAGTGGCAAATCAAGAAGAAAATGACTAACTTTTCGTTGCAACTTGTTTCACATGTTATGAAACAAGTGAAAACTGACTCATTGATAGTGGCTGCACTAATCATATGACACATAACAAGGAGTTGTTCAAGGAATGGAAGAGCACCGAGTCCAAGAAGGTCAAAATTGAGAATAGTGAATATATTGAAGTCAAAGGAAAGGGCATCATAGCCATTGCAAGCTGTTCAGGAATCAAGTTGATCACCGATGTTCTTCATGTACCCGATATTGATCAAAACTTGCTCAGTGTTGGCCAATTAATAGAAAAGGGATTCAAAGTGATGTTTATGGAGAAGACCTGTGTTATAGAAGATGCTATAGCCCAAAAGATATTTGAAGTTAAGATGGTAGCGAGGAGTTTTTCACTCAATCCAATGCATGAGGAACAAATTGAAAGCACTATGAAAATTCAATCAGCAATTGAGATAACTGAGCATGTGAAAGTTGATGCAAGGTTGAGAGAATTAGAACTGGAGTCAACCTTACAGAAAACAACTGCAGAACTTTTAGAGTTTAAAGCTCGATTTTGAGTATGGAAACAGAACTCCTAGCCATGTCGGGAATAAATGATGAATAGAAATATGAAATGGATAAGGCAATGGCGAGCCAATTTGATTCGGAGATGAGGCTGATAAAGGCTACTACAGAAGTCACAGAACTGAAAGCAAACCTCTTGGATAAGGAGACACAGCTGCAAAGCATTATAAATGAAAATGAACAGCTAAAATTGGAGCTAAAGAGAGACATGGAGCATCAGGAGAATTATGCTGCAGCTATATTAGATGTTGAAAGAGCAAAAACTGCAGAACAAGAAACACTGATGAGACTATGTGTTGTCAATGGGGAGGCTGAAAAGAATAACAAGAAGACAACAAAGGTTTTGGAGCAGCTTGAGGCCAGGCAGTGCAATCAGAGATGGAGGCTGAGCAGAGGAGGCTTAGGGTGCAGTCAGATCAATGGAGAAAGGCAGTTGAAGCAGCTGCATCAGTTCTCACACCAGGGAACAATGGCAAAATAGTTGAGAGAACGGGCTCTCTTAAATCAGACTGCAATTCACTGCTCCTTGGGAAGCTGCTAAGCTCCCCTTTCTCCGACAAATTGGATGATGATTCTCCCAAAAGAAAGAATGGCAATATACTGAGGAAAATTTTAATGGATCTCAATCTGGAGCAGAAAAAAAAACAGTGAGATTTTTGTTGACAACCAAACTGTCATTTTCATTTCTCATAATCCTGTGTTTCATGAGAAAACTAAGCATTTCAACATCAAGTCATTTTTGCTAAGAGAAGTACAAAAAGAAGAATTTTTTTACTTTGGTTTACTGCAAATATGAAGATCAGTTGGCGGATTTGTTTAAGTTTGAGTTTCTAAGGCAGACATTTGGTGTTCGCAGCTCCTAAAGCAA